AGACAGACAGACAGACAGACAGACAGACAGACAGACAGACAGACAGACAGACTCACCTTCCCTGTCTGTCGCGCCGTCTCGTTGAGCACGGCCTCAAAGTTTTCCCGGAAACAGGTCAACATGTCGGCCTGTCTGTTCTTGTGAGCGGCCACCTCACGGAGCGGGCTGTACACGTTCTTGATGAGCAGACTTGCCACGTCCACGTGAGCCTGGGGGAGGCGGGAGGGTGTTTTGTTAAAACTTTTGTTCATTTATAGTTTGGGGGGGGGGGGTTCAGATCAAATGTACGCATCGATCTAGGAAATGCAAATGCCACGTAGCAAGATCAAAATATGTCATATAGAAAGTTTCACGCCACATAGAAAGTTCAAATGTGCAATAGGAAATTTTAGTGCACGATTTTGCGTAACAATTTCAAATGTACAAATAGCAAATCCAAATATAACACAATAGCAAGTTCAAATACCACATAGCAAAAGGAAATATCCTCCAAACAGATTGGAATCCACGGTGTAAAAGATCAAAATGAAGACCGCGTGGAACCTTGAGAAGAATCACAGAAATTACTGTACAGAAAGTGGGAAGACATGGAGTGACATCAAGATGCTAGCCCAGAATAGAGAAAGGTGGAAAGTGTTTGTCCGTGGCCTATACCCTGGTGCAGGGGGAGAGATGATGATGATGATTACTCGGTGTGAGTAGCATTGTTAATGTGCTCAAACTAAGTTGACAACAACCATTTATAGGCAGTATCATTTTAATTGATTGTCATGAAAAAACTGCGGAAAAAAGAAACACAATCAACGTATTACCTGGGCATCTAGTTCAGTCTCCTGAAGCAGGGTGTCCCAGGCGTTGAAGATGAACGAGGCGGTGTCCACAGGCCTGGGGTAAACAAAAAATGGTGAAATGGTGAAGATTTCACGCCTTTATCAACACTGTTAAGCTAGGTTATTTAGTCGCTTTTAAGCACAAGGCGGCTATCCCGAAAAATGATGTTTTGAGAAAATCGAAGGTAAAGGTTTTGCCCCTTGGTCAGTTTCTTTAAAATACAAGGAGAGTTTTCTCTAAAACTTAATAAATATACACACAAACGAAACCAAACTTCTTCTATTATAGGTAGGGCAATGCCCACTTTCGGTGTAGGTCAAGATTTCTGGAAACCCTCGAAATCTGGGTCAGCCCCCTTGTTCTTAAAAGCGAACATTTAAGAGGCTTGACAACCGAGTTTTTTAACGTCCATCTCCGATAGGACCGAGCCAAGTGGGGAATTCGTGCGAAGTGCCTTTCCCAAGGACACAACGTCGGACCTCACAAGCCAGAGGGGAAGACGAGATGAGGAAAAAAACAACAACAATATACTACATACATTCTAACACGCACATAGCGAAATGGGCGGGACACGGAGAGATCTTTTCGTAATGTGCGAATCTTTCTGGGTCCATATTTTAAATACAAAGAATGTACTTTTTTTTAAAGTCCGTCAATAGGTACGCATTTCTCTGTGCTTGTGTTTTAAATACAAAGATTACAAGTGTTTAATGAAGAGAAAACAAATTGGTCTTTATGTACACATGTCTGTGTGTGTGTGTGTGTTTAAATACAAAGAGTATGTGTTAAAGAGAAATAAAATAGTCATTGTATACGCATTTTGCTATGTACGTGTTTAAAAAACGAAGAATATTACTATACATGAATAAGAATTGTATTTGTTTTGTAGTTGTTTTGTTTTGTTTGGGTTGTTTGTTTGTTTTTTTGTTTGTTTGTTGTTGTTGTTTTGTTTGTTTTTTTGGGGGGGGCTAGTCACTATACACGTAGGCGTGCAGCGCTTTGTGCGAGCCAGATTGTACGTTATCTTTGACAAATTTCAACTGTGTGTATTTGAGTGCGCCAACACACCACACACATAGACACAAACACACAAACACCCCCTACACCTGCACACACACATACACACACTCTCACACACACACACACACAAACACCTTTCCCACCACCCTCCTCACACACACACACGCTCATCCCCCCCCCACACACACACATAAACACACACAAACGCACACACACACAC